CGGGCCGGATCCGGCCCGTTTGGAATGAATAAAACTAAAAAAAAAAAAAAACGAACCCTTTTATGTAATGATGTTTACTTTGAATTTATATTAGTTCACACAAACACTCCATCCATGCTTTTGTTCCGGCCCTCCGGTCCAGTTTAAGAACCCATTGTGGCCCTCGAGTCAAAAAGTTTGCCCACCCCTGATCTAGACTCATTTATTATAGCAATTGTGAGACATTGGAAACAATGGATACATTTTTAAAAGATCTATATATATAAAAGGCTAAGTGTCTGTCCATTCAACTGGTAGCTATGATGCATACTGATAACCAGGGGGCAGACGCTTAAATCAGGAGCTGCCATGATGTGCACTGGCTATTTAAAAATAAACGGCACTGCGGACCTGGAGCTGACAAACCAACACTCGGCTTCTCCCAAGTGGGACACAGGCCCCGCCACCATCCTGGAGTGACACCCCACCAGATCACAGCCAACACTGCCAGGACCCCATGGCGCAAATTGTGCTCATGGCCCAGCCCCCCAACCCCCTGCCCCGGAAATGGTGGCTGTGGTTGCTGGGTAATGACGTCACATAGCAACGCCCAGCTTCCTCTCCCTAGCGACTAGCATCCTTGGAGTTTCTTCAGCCCAGGAACCCAACTTTCTTTATAGCCAGGTGCAAACATTTTACAGTTTAACCAAATATTTGTGAAGCGTTTTCCCATGCCTCATCTAATTTGATCCTCATAGAAGTCCTGGAGTAGGTAGGTAGGAGACTCTGTAGAATCCTATTTTCTTTTCATTAGCAAGACGCAAATATTGATATTAAAATATTTCCTTTCAGTGTGCACAAATCTGTGCACCGGGACACTAGTAGTTTATAAAAGAACATTGAGTGAAAAAAAGGTTGCATAAATGATGTCTGCAGTCTGACATTTATATGAATAAAAACCAAACAATTCTATACATATTCTGTGGGCACATCTCTCATCATTGATTTTTCTTTCTCTCCCTCTCCCTTCCTCTCTGAAATATATATATATTAGAGAAATATGCTAATTAACCAGGACACTGTAATGGGTCGAACCCACAGCGGGCCGAGGCTACTGCAGGGTCTGGGGAGCGAGGCAGGGCCAGACCAGCGACTCGAGGGTGGGCGGCGCCCCGCAATTTCAAATCGCGTGCTGGGCTCCTAGTAATGTATAAAAATGGTAAACTCTGGTTATGGAGAGCAGATCTGTATGAGGGGTGACATGATGCAAGGTGATTTTAACCATTATATATTGATTCTTCATGGAAAATATAGTCATTTATTACTTGTGTTATTTTCAAAGAATTTATTTATGAATAAGAAAAAGACAGGAAACAAGTATGTCAGATGTTAATGGCTAGCTTTGGGTGGTGGGATTAAGGGCAGTCCCCCCTCTTTTTTATCCTTCCTGTATGCTAGAGGAACACAGTGAGGGATTGTTGGCCTGAAGTGAATGAAGGTGAGAGCGCTGAGAAATGGTATTTGAGAAGCAGGCAGGAGCCAGGCTCTATTTGAATTATATTCCCTTTTCCCTGTTCTAGATATTTCTTTGAACTCCTAAGGTAGGCCTAAATCTGTGTCTGGTTGTGGAGAGAATACTAGGTTGTATAACATTCTCACCTGCACTAAAGGAGTTAATTTGAATGAAGTAAAGATGATAAAACTTATCATCTTTTAAATCGTGTTAAATAAGGGAAGTTAAATAAGAGTCAGTTCTGTAGGAACCCAAGAAGGGGGTTCCTAAGGATTGGGCTGGGGGTTAGTGAGAAAGATTTCCTGAAGGAATTAGGACCCCAAATGGGCCCGAAGAATCAGTTTGGTTCATAGACGCTAGGAGCATCTGTATTTTGTCATAAATGGATCCTGTGATAGAAATCCCAATGGGTTATTGATAGCAAAAAAGTTAGAAAGGAGAAAGATTGGATTCAGATATAAAATGGCACTTATATAGCCCTTGCTGTGTGCTAGGCATGTTGTAAGTCCTTTACACACATTTACTCTGCTATTTAAACATAGAGTTTCTGCTATTATCAATAGGGAAATTGAGACTCAGGAAGAAGTGCCTTGTCTCAGGTCAGACAGCTAGGAAATAGCAGGCCAAGGTTCAAGGCCAGGCACCTGGCACCAGAGCGTGTGAGTTTTAAATCCCTGAGCTATACTGCCTTTCTGTTTCTTTCTTTTTTTTCTTTCTCTCTTTAAAAAAATGTTTTTTTTATTGATTTCAGAGAGAGGAAAGGAGAGGGAGAGAAAAATAGGAACATCAATGATGAGAGAGAATCATTGGTCGGCTGCCTCCTGCATGCCCCACACTGGGGATCAAGCCCACAAGCGGGGCATGTGCCCTGACAGGGAATCGAACCATGACCTCCTGGTTCCCAGGCTGATGCTCAACCACTGAGTCACGCTGGCTGGGCAAGGACCCTGCTATTTTAGCTCAGTTGATCCAGTAGGGTTTTCCTGAGGACATAGGAGTTGAGATTAGAATGAGGAGGGGGCAGCCATATCTATGGGAGAATCCAGGGGAAGAACATTCCAGGCAGAGGAAATAGCCCAAGCAAAGACTGCAAGACAGAAACAAACTTGACCCCTCCAAGAAATGGGTAGAAGGCTATAGACTAGAGAATAAAGGGGCAAGGCAGGAGCTGTGAGGTTGGAGGGGTTTAAGGAGGTAGGGAGTCAGATCACGTGGACCCCTACGCGTGGCACCGAGTTAAGATTTTATCCCAAATGCAATGGGCAGCCAGTGGGGGTGTTAACTACTTAAGTACCATATTCTCAACAGGTGGGAGTAGTGGGTGAATGGGTGTATCTGTTCCTACTGGTCCACGAGTCCTGGTTCATGAGGGTTAGCTAATAGTCTCTGTGGTTCCCTGTTCCTTAGTCTTCGGCAGCATGCCGAGGTATAGGCTGGGGCAAGGAGGGTCTCCCCTGACTGCAGTGTGCATGTGCTGAGGGGCCCCTGGAGCTTAGGGAGCTCATATTGCCTGGGGCGGGGGGTCAATGAACAGCAGTGGCAGTATGGTCAGTAGTTGGGAATATAGACTTTGACACGTAGCAGATCTAGGTTCCAATCCAAGTGTCTCCACCTGTTGGATGGGAATAATAATAGTGCCTCGCTTCGTGGGCTGGGCGAAGATGCAGTGAGATGGTGTGTGTACGATGTGTCCTGGTGCGTGGCACACAGTAAGCACATGTCAGCCCCTGTTGTGTTGGGGGTGGGAAAGTGTAAAAGCCGCAGTGTGAGAAGTTGTTCTCTGGCCCATGGGGAAACCGCTGGGTCCTGTGTGTCACTCTGGTTCTCTCTCTCTAGGGTTACTTCCCTCCACGGGCCATTGAGATAGCACAGAAGATACCTTCGTGGAGGACGGAGCAGGACGTCCAGGCCCTGTGTAACTTCCTGCAGGTCCTGGATTGCTACCGGAACTACTCAGAGGCCCTGCAGCTGCTTCTGGCCAGGGTCCTCCGCTTTGAACGGTCAGTGAGGGCCCCCCGGCTCTGGGCTGGAGCTGGGCTGGGCAGGAAGACCCAGCTGAGAAGGCCATGGCAGGTGTGCCAGCCTCTCTGCCGAGTGTCAGCCGAGGAAAGCCATCTGTTAGTTCACCTTAGTGCTCACTGTTATGGTTGCAGCACAATTTATCTCATCCATTCATTGAGTTTCTATCCAGAATTAAGGAGAGGATCTGGTAGGAACATCAGAAAGGATCTGTTCCAATTCTCTGATTTTTCAGATAAGAAAATGGAGGCTCATAAGGGGAAAATGACTCATCTTAGGTCACCCAGATGATAAATAGCAGAGCTGAGGCTCAAATCCAGCCCCAAAAAGCCAGAATGGATCACAGGGGATTACATTACTAGTACATCCAGACAGGAACCAGGGCAAGGGTCTTGAACTGGGATGAGAGAAAAATTAAATCTGTGTTTTTCTTTTTTTAAATTGTTTTATTGCTTAAAGTATTACAAAGAGTATTACATATGTCTCCTTTTTTTCCCCGCCCTTGACAATCCCCTGGCCTCCCCTACCCCCCAGTGTCTTATGTCCATTGGTTTTGCTTATATGCATGCATACAAGTCCTTCGGTTGATCTCTTACTCCCCTCCCTTCTGCCCCCCAACCCTCTCTGGCCTTCCCACTGCAGTTTGACAATCAGTTTGAGGCAGCTCTGCCTCTGTATCTATTATTGTTCAAAAGTTTGTAATGGTCTCTATTATCCATGAATGAGTGAGATCATGTGGTATTTTTCCTTCATTGACTGGCTTATTTCACTTAGCATAATGCTCTCCAGTTCCATCCATGCTGTTGCAAATGGTAAGAGTTCCTTCTTTTTTACAGCAGCATAGTATTCCATCGTGTAGATGTACCACAGTTTTCTAATCCATTCATCTACTGATGGGCACTTAGGCTGTTTCCAAATCTTAGCTATGGTGAATTGTGCTGCTATGAACATAGGGGTGCATATATCCTTTCTGATTGGTGTTTTTGGTTTCTTGGGATATATTCCTAGAAGTGGGATCACAGGGTCAAATGGGAGTTCCATTTCCAGTTTTTTGAGGAAACTCCATACTGTCTTCCATAGTGGCTGCACCAGTCTGCATTCCCACCAGCAGTGCACAAGTGTTCCTTTTTCTCCACATCCTCTCCAGCACTTGTCGTTTGTTGATTTGTTGATGATAGCCATTCTGACAGGTGTGAGATGGTACCTCATTGTTGTTTTGATTTGCATCTCTCGGATGATTAGTGACTTTGAGCATGTTTTCATATGTCTCTTGGCTTTCTGAATGTCCTCTTTTAAAAGGTGTCTATTTAGGTCCTTTGCCCATTTTTTGATTGGATTGTTTATCTTCCTTTTGTTAAGTTGTATGAGTTCCCTATAAATGTTGGAGATTAGGCCCTTATCAGATATAATGTTGGCAAATATGTTCTCCCATGTAGTGGGCTTTCTTGTTGTTTTGTTGATGGTTTCTTTTGCTGTGCAGAAACTTTTTATTTTGATGTAGTCCCATTTGTTTATTTTCTCTTTAGTTTCCAATGCCCTAGGATCTGTATCGGTGAAGAAATTGCTTCGGCATATGTCTGAGATTTTGTTGCCTTTGGATTCTTCTAGTATTTTTATGGTTTCCGGTCGTATATTTAAGTCCTTTATCCATTTTGAGTTTATTCTTGTGTATGGTGTAATTTGGTGGTCTAGTTTCATTTTCTTGCATGTATCTGTCCAATTTTCCCAACACCATTTATTGAAGAGACTATCTTGACTCCATTGTATGTTCTTGCCTTCTTTGTCAAATATTAATTGAGCATATTGGTTCGGGAAATCTGTGTTTTTCTTAATCTCTAACTGAAATTGATCATTTTCTTCAATCATGGATGTAGGTAGCAAACCACTGTAGTATTTAGACATTATTGTGACTTTTTCACCAAAAGAAATCACAAATATTTTCACATTATATTTAATGTTGCAGGTTTCTTGAAAAATAGTTTATCACATCTTTGAAAATATGGTAGTTATTAGATATGCTATCTTTGTTATTTGATGCCTTAATAAAGAGCCACACATATTGCTACATCACAAATTGGGGTTTTTGTTAACTAACTCTGCTGTATTTTATTTTATACATTTGAGACACTATTCTGTGAAGGCTTCATCAGATTGTCACAGGGCCCATGGCACAAAAAGCACCACGTAAATACCTTGTAGTAGAGAAGTTTAAGAGGTATGCGTGGACATATTGCTGTTTCCAGGACATTCAAAGGCTTACAGGGGACAGCTTTGCACAATATTTGAGGTGAGGCCTGTTTTGAAAATCCAGGATGCAATGTCACTATAGGTTAGTGTCCTGATATCTTCCTTCATGGAGGTCATAGTGTAAGACATAATCACAACTAAGTACAGGTTATGATCCTTTATGAACCATGCAGGATCTTTCCCACAGGTAATAAGCCAGGGGGAGGAGGTAATTATCCAGTTGGTTTGAACGAGGGAGTTTCACAGCAAAGGTGACATTTGAACAGGTATATTTGACAGGTAGAAGTGTAGATAAGGACATTCCAGGCAGAGGGTACCATCTGCTTTATTCTAGCCTAGTGAATAAGAGCAAGTCACTGCTATCCTAAAGTGAGATTCCAGGACAGGCAGAATGGAGTCATGGAAAGAAAAAGAATCATGGAGCTAGGAGCTCTGGAATTTAATACCATGTCTGCCTCACTGGGACCTTAGACAAGCAACTTAAGCTTTCTGAGCCTCATATCCTCATCAGTGAAATGAGGAGAATATGGCTTTTCTGTATATCAAAATATGGTGATTGTTAAAGCTAGTTGTTGATTGGCCAGGACTGGAAATTGGCAGATTAGATAGGATCCTTCCAGTTGCAAGCGACAGAACACAGTCCAGGAGAAGGTATTGGTGACTCATGTATCTGAAAAGTCCTGGGATAGTTCTCCAGCTTTAGGCTTAGATTGGATTTAGGGGCTTAGTGTCACCAGGACCATGTCTGTCTGTCTATCTGTCTCCATCTCCTGGCACTTCATAGTATAAGCCACCTTCTCAGCCAGACTCTCTTCTCACAATGGAGAGATGACTGCCCCAGCCACAACTCCAAACTTTCCTCCTTCTGGTTTCAGTCCCTTGGGAAAGAGAGTAAACATCCTAGTCCCTCAAGTCAGAGCCTTGGAATTAGTTCTTTCTGAACCAGGTTAGCTTCGCTTGAATCATCAGTGGGCAGTGATGCTCTGATTGTCTGACAGTCAAGAAAGGGTGTTTCCCCCAAAGCAAAGTCAGGGTGGAGTTGGTAGAAAAATGTGACCAGATGCTTGGCAGCAAAAGCAGTAGATGTCTGCTGTAGGAGATTCAGGTTCTAGTGCTGACTCAAGTGTGGCCTTCAAACAAGTCCCCGGGAGGGCCCCACTTTCCTCATCCTGAAAATGTAGATTGAGCTATATGATCTCGAGGGTCTTTCTGGCTCCAATTCTAGCAGTCTACACTTGAGTGAACACTGGCTCTGCTCTTTTGATCCCAAAGTCTTATTTCCTGGCTGAATATGCCTGCCTTCTCCCATCTGGCCATTGTCATCTGGGCCATCACCTCTTTCCTATGTTGACACAGCTTCTGATTTATGCCCAAACAAACCCAGAGCCAGAGGGGAGCCTGAAGCTACTGACTCCAGCCTAATACAGTCCTCAGTCCACCTGTTCTCTAATCCCTGCCCCCAGGAATTTGCCACAGGGTTTGAAGCCAGTGGATGCTCTGGAAGCTCAGAAGGGGAGCTATTGCTATGGGCTGAGTCTGAGAGGTCTTCCTGGAGGCAGTAGGATCTGAGCTGGACCTTGAGCTCCCTGAAAAAATTTAAATAGGAGAATAAGAGAGGAAAATCCATTCCAAGCAGGGGGAGCTGTGTAGACAAATTGATGGAACAAAGGAAGTAACACTTGTCCTGTGCAGAGGGTTGGCTCTGGCTCTCCTGCTGCTGGTAGCTCAGTGAGGAGGGGGAGGAGAATTCAGAGGACCTGCTGAGGGCAGTGCAGAGAGATTGGAGTCTGGAAAAACACTGGGGCACTTTTACAAAGGCCATTGATTCCTAAGAACTTGGTAGACACTGAAGGGCAGACTTTGGGCTCCCCATTGCCTTCTGGGTAAAATCCAAACTTAGCCCAACTTTTGGAGCGAGCCAGATTTCTCTTCCATTACCCCCCTGACCTCCTCCCCGTCTCCCATTTTCCTTTCTAATGGTAGTTACAGTTATTCCGTTGAATGTGCCCATGCTTCCAGTCACTTCTGGGCCTTTGAAACTGTTTTGTTTTTTTAAAATACATTTTTATTGGTTTCAGAGAGGAAGGAAGAGGAAGAGATAGAAACATCAATGATGAGAGAGAATCATTGATTGGCTGCTCCTGCACACCCCCCACTGGGGATCGAGCCTGCAACCTGGGCATGTGCCCTTGACCGGAATCAAACCTGGGACCCTTCAGTCCACAGGCTGACGCTCTATCCACTGAGCCAAACCAGCTAGGGCACCTCTGGTCCTTTGGACAGGAGTCCCTTTGCCTGGGATGTTCTTCCATCACTCTGTCCACCTGGATGACTCCAGACACCATCCTAGAGCTTTCTCTGGCCTTCCTAAGCTGAGTTAAATGTCCCTTCTCTGTGCTTCTGAATTATCCTGTGTTTACCTCTCTTTAAGCATTTTTAAACCTTATTTACCTCCTTATTTGACCATAATTTTGAGAATGAAATCTGTGTCCTTTATCTCTGTGCCTGACAGACACAGTTGGAATTTGTTTAACTTATATTGAATGAATGAAGGAAATGAATGAATATTGAAAGAAGTGAAATTTGAGCTTACATTTGAAATACAGAAATTTCCTTCTGAGCTTAAGAACTAACTCCCAGTTTTCTTGGGACCTGGCACTTCTACCCTCAGGGTTCCCAATTGGGTAGTGAGTTCTTGAAGATCATAAGACCATTTATTTGTCTCTTTCTAGGCATATTCATCTATATTTTATAGACAAAAGAAACTGAAGTTCAGAAAGGGGATATTAGTTGCCCAGTGGCATATAGCTAGGGGTAGAACTAGGATTGGGATCCTGGTCTGACTCTAAAACCAGTGCTTTTAATTATTTAGCCACTCATCCAATCCTTTCAGCATGTGTTCATTCATTTATTTCACAACTGTTCATTGAGCATTTACTGTGTGACCAAGCAGACTGACAAAGGCTCTGTTCTCTGGAAGCTTCAGTCTAACAGAGGTGGGCAACTAAATAAGTGTTAGCTTGATGGAGCTGGGAGTGGGCTCTTCTGAGTCCTTTCTAGTTACAGCCTGTGTTTTAATTCTCCAGAGCAAAGGGCACAACCAATCCAACTCTCCTCCCAGCATGTGCTGGGCTCTGGGTTGCTACTAGATCACAGGCTATGGTCTTTTCCCAGGTTTGGTCGCAGACGTGTGATCATAAAGAAGGGGAAGAAGAGCAGCAGCTTTTATTTCATCTACTTGGGCAAAGTCGCAGTGACCCAGGATGAAGATGGCAGCAGCGCCTTCCTAGACCCCCACCCGATGTTGCTGCAGAAGGGCGACTGTTTTGGGGTAACGGAGGAAGGGCCTGGCTTCCTGGGCTGGGGTTGGAGTGTGAGAGATTCCTGCTAGAACCTCTTGGCCAGGCCCAATCCTGTCTTATATTCTGTGCAAGCCACTGCCCTGTTGTGGGTCCTAGCACCCTTATCTGTCAAAGGCCAACTCTTCATTTGTGATGTTTAAGGAGTATGTTCCCCATATGACCCCTTAGAGATACATGACTCCTCAGTGAGGCCTCTCCAGCTTCCTGACTCTGGCCTGGTCAAGTCTGTTGCCTCTTTTTCCACAGGCAACATATTAAGAGGGAGGAGTGGCCCCACTGAAGGGTGATGAGCAAGAGCACAGGGCTGGCCCCAGAACCTGCAGTCTGGAGAGGAGAAATTTCAAGGGAAGCGGGGAGACAGAAGCAGGGAAGAGTGTGCAAGGCTGCAAGCAGGAAATGAGAGGTAGCTTCCTAATTGCCTTTGCCCCTGTCTACCCAACAGGAAATGGGCCTTCTGAGTTCTTCAGTAAGGAGGGCCACTGTGGTCTGTATGGAAGAAACAGAGTTCTTGGTTGTCGACCAAGATGATTTCCTTGCTAATAACCTGGACCATGAAGTTAAAAAGGATGCCCAGGATCGGTTTGAGTTTTTTAGGTAACTCCATCATCAGCCAGCATCTTCCCCCCTGGGTGTTTGTTAGGTACCTAACTTTGTCCCAGGCCCAGTGGGAAACTCTAGGTGCTTTTCTCTCTGCCTGAAATGTTCTTCAGTACCCACCTCCCACCCAAGTTCTCTATCAAACTCCTACTATACCTTCAGGTCTCAGCTCAAATATCCCTTCTTTGTGGAACAGTAATACTAGAATGGCTAACGTGTATTGAGTGCTTGCTGGGCCAGGAAGGGTGTTAAGACCTCTGGACTACCTGCCTTATCTAATTTCACGTTCAGTCCTATGAGGACATTTCTCTTATTCTCCCCAACTTATGGGTGAGGGAAATAAGGCTCAGGATGGGGATGTCCCAGAATGTCTGATTCAGAAGTCTCTGGGCCTCACCACCCCACCTCACTAACCAACCCCATCTACCCTCAACCCAGAATAGAGAGGGTGCCCCTCAATGCTTTTATTACACTATGTTAAAACTGTAATTCTTGATTACACAATACTTTCTTTGCAATTTATTTGCCCTATCAGACAGTAAGCAATATGGTAGCAAGGCCCTATCTGTACTTTTTACTGTTGTAATCCCTGTGTTGTCATAGTGCCAGGCACATGCAGATGCTCATTCAGTTATCTTTAGGAAAGAGTGAAAGTCAAATGAAGCATAGGCACTGGCACTGAAAATACATGTCGTAGGTTGCAGGCTGTAGAGAATCATGATAAACAGAGCGTCCCTGTGAACTAGAGCCGAGAGAGGGCTTCACAAAGGATCTGGAGCCTGACAAGGGGGAATTTAGTCCCCAAGGGAGGAGCAGTTCATTTGTTCATAGAGTGGGAAAATGACGCTGGTTTCCTTCCAGTCTCAGCTCTTACGCTTATCAACCATGTGACCCTAGATAGGTCATTTCTCCAAGTGTTAGTCTCCTGCTCTGTGAAATGGAGATAATGATTCCTCTCTTCCAAGGTCATTGTAAGGATTGAGTGAGATAATCATGGGAAGTGTGTGGCCCAGTGTTTGGCACATAGTAGGTGCTTCTTCTGGGGTGGCCCAGCTTTCCTTCCAGTGCCTCTCCAGTGGTTCTCAACCTTCCTAATGCCGTGACCCTTTAATATAGTTCCTCACGTTGTGGTGACCCCCAACCATAAAATTATTTTCGTTGCTACTTCATAACTGTAATTTTGCTACTGTTATGAATCGTAATGTAAATATCTGATATGCAGGATGTATTTTCAGGGTCGCGACCCACAGGTTGAGAACCGCTAGGCCCTTCTCATCTGGACATGGCACTGACTCCATTCCCCTTTGGTGCTCTGAATGGAACTCAGTGCCCCCACTGAGGCCTAAGTCACCGAGTTCTGAGCTCATAATCTGTTGGAGCTGAGAGAATCTACTACCATAGCTAGTAATTCCTTGGGGCCTCATCGAGGGAAGGCAAACACATGTATGCGGTGTATGAGGTCAGGTGGAGGGGAAGTCACTTCAGTGGGCCTTCAACTACAGGGAACAAAAGAGGTGAATCCAGACTCTTCCCCAGGGCTGAGTGTTTGAAGCCAATAGGCCATAGGAGATGGGTAGGAATGAGCTGCCCAAACCAAAGTAGGGCCAAGACTGCTGGACTTGAGGGGCAGAATAGCTGGTGAGCTGCAGTGAGGCCTTCTCACAGTGTTACTTGGAATGGGAATAGCTTAGTGAGCCACAAGGTTGTGGTCAAGGAGCTGGGGAAAGTCTCCTGGAGGGAAGAACAGAAGTAAGAGAATCATAGTTGGTGGATTATACAGGTGTGTTTGAGGAGTAGCAATGGGAAGTGGCTGGATGAAGGGCCTGAAGAAGAAGGCAGGGGGAGCCAAGGCGATATGTGGTAGGAGATTGGCTACAGGCTAGGTGATTGGAGGCTGTGTGTAATCTTCCAACTCAGGCATTTGCAAGAGCAGGAGAACATATTCCCTTTCTGGAAATTGTTAAGAGCTGTGCACCTTCTATGATGGAGGGCAATGCATTCTAACATGTTTTTCCCCTCAGGCATTTGGAGTTGTTACAGTCGTGGTCTGATGAGAAGCTCTGGAAACTGGTAACCCTGGGGAAGGTGGAAAAGTACTCATTTGGGCAGCTGGTCTCAAAAGACATTATTGAATCATCCTCTGTCATGTTTGTCTGCAGGGTAAGAAGTCAAGATTGGGAGTGTAAAGCTGGGAAGAACATGCCTAATATAGGATCCTATGGCCAGACAGAAGGGTCCTGAGTGCTGTTCTGCAGCACTTGCAATTGGCAATTGTTGCCTCATTGAGGATTTAATTTATATTTTTTTCTAATTACTAGTAAGATTAATCATGTTTGTTTACTGTCTAAATTTTGTCTTTTGCATATTGCTTTATGTCTTTGCCAACTTCTCTATTGGTTGATAATGAAAAGAAAATCTAACATATATTGAGTTCTTACTGTGTACCAGGCTGTGTGCTCAACACGCTTTATTTCATTTTAACCTCATAGCAGCACAAAGGAGAGTGGTATTGTCATTCCCATTTTACAGAGGCACAGGAAGGTTAAGTGGTTTGTCCAAAGTCACACAGTTGCTGCCGGGCAGAGGCACAGTTCATCCCAGGTCTGACTCCAAAGCTCTTCTGCTCAGGAGCTAGGATTTGGAATTTGAGTTGACCTTTCTGTAGTTAATCATTATTATCATCTTAAGAGCCACCAATTTTTTGAGGCTCTTTGCTCTTGCGCCAGGGGTTCTACTAGCATCATTAATTTTTTCATGTGTATTCAGGAATAGATAATACATTCACATGGTTCAAAATTCAAAAGGTTCAATAGAATGGTAATTTTCACCTCTTTCCCCCACCACCCAGTTTCTTATGTGTCTGTACTGCACATATTCTCTGCATTTGTATATATTTTTTCCCCTTTTTCCATAAATGGCATCAAATGACATAGACTGTTCTGCACTTTGCTGTTTCATTAAGAATATTTCTGTAGATCGTTACATACTAGTACATACAGAGCTCATTCATTCTTTTTTCCACCTGTGTAATATTTTACTGAATGTTTGTAATTCATTTTACTTAGCCAGATTCCTATTGATATATATTAATTTTTAAAAATATATTTTTATTGATTTCAGAGATGAAGGGAGAGGGAGAGAGAGATAGAAACATCAATGATGAGAGAAAATCATTGATCGGCTGCCTCCTGCACACTCCCTACTGGGGATCAAGCCTGCAACCCAGGCATGTGCCCTTGACTGGAATCGAACCGGGACCCTTCAGTCTTTACCCACTGAGCCAAAGCAGCTAGGGCTGGATATTAATTTGTCTCAATCTTTTGTTATTTTAGGGTTTTGATGAATACCATGCACATACTATCATTTCATCATAAATATTCACCCAAGCTCTATAAGGAAGATATTATTATCCTAAGTTTACAGACAAGGATAATAAAGACACCTTAAGAAAGGCCACCCAACTACTAAGTGGCAGAGCCAGAGTTCTAAAAACTTTTAGTATTTCCCATATATCTATTATCTACATGTTAAACCACCACAGACATTTTGTCAAGTTTTTGCCAAGGTCATGCATGACACATTGGTCCAGGCTCGAGAGGGATACAAAGATGGAAAAGACTGGTTCTCTCTCCTTATATATCTTCTTTACTAGATTCTGAGCACGGACAAAGGTGTCAATACCAACTACAAAGTGATTAGTGCAAAATCTGTGAGTTGTAAGGATTCAGGAGATAGAGCTCTCTAAAGTCTGGAGGCTTTAAGGAAGGTTTCCTGGACGAGGTGAGGTGGGAGATGAGTCTTGATATATTGGACCATTAGACAAAAGGAAGGGGCAACATTGGTTGTATGCTGGAGCTGGCTCATAGTGACTTTGAGAGCTGATTAAATTTTCAGGAATTCTGTGAGTTGGTAAACACTATAATTATTTAAAAATTATATAAACCTATAATTAAATACATTATATTGAAAACAAGAGTAATAAATGCTGAGCAGCCAGGCCAGTGTTGCTCAGTGGTTGAGTGTCGACCTACGAACCAGAAGATCATAGTTCGATTCCCGGTCAGGGCACATGCCTGGGTTGTGGGCTTGATCTCTCTCCTTCTCCCTTCCTGAAATTAATAAAAATATATATTTTTAAAAAGCTGAACACAGCCCTAACCGGTTTGGCTCAGTGGATAGAGCGTCGGCCTGCAGACTGAAGGGTCCCAGGTTCGATTCCGGTCAAGGGTATGTACCTTGGTTGCAGGCACATCCCCAGTAGGGGGTGTGCAGGAGGCAGCTGATCCATGTTTCTCTCTCATAGAAGTTTCTAACTCTCTATCGCTCTCTTTTCCTCTCTGTAAAAAATCAATGAAATATCTTTCAAAAAATTAATGCTTATAAAAAAAGCTGAACACATCATTTTCTAATGATGTTACTGCATTGTAGTATTATCTAGGCTCTTGAGGATATGTCTATTGCATCTGTATGGTGGAAATACTATACAGTTGTGCACATTTCTTCTCAACTCCAAACTCAGTGACTTCACTCATATTGATAGCTTAAAGTTGGCCACTGTGGGAGTATTTACACAATGGAAATTGGCAGACAGTCTAAGTCAGGTCTTGATTTATGGCTTTGCTGATTGTCTTAAGAAAGCTCTAAGAGAAAATGTTTATAATGTAGGTTATATTTAATAGAGGGAAGGATCTGTAGCTATTACACTGTGAAGAGAGGAAAATTGAGAAAATATTCTTCTAGTATTTAAAAGTCATGATCTGATCCATCATAGATATTAGTCATATCATCAATGAACAGTGAAGTTCTGATACACATAGTGATAAAGCTAAAAGAGGTTTCAATTTAATGAATATAATTTATATGAGAGTGAGAAATAGTTTACCAGTAGATTATAAATCAGATTTAATAATACTAAATTTATTGAGAAAAGAGTGGATTCGGATACAAATTCATTTGTCAAATCATGGTTGAATTATGACCAATTGGCCATGGACACAAGAGTTCAGCCAAAGTCAACAAAAGCATCCTGTGAGAATTGATTGTCAAAATGGAATATTTAATGAGTAGAGTATATTTTGTTATTTATAAACTAGAGGCCCGGTGTACAGGATTTGTGCACTGGTTGGGGGCATGGCCTGCAGGGATTGGCCTGCTGTGGAAGCACCACTCATCCTGGTCCGCCAAGCAGATATCAGGGAGGAGAAGGAATTGCAAATGATTCAAGTTGGCCTTCAGGGCTCTCCACTACCAGTTCTTCTCGGCTTTCTCCCATCTCTTCTCACATGACCATCAGGATTCTCCAAACTTATATAAACCCCAAGCACATCCCTACTGCAAGCTTGGCTTCCTACTATTCCACTCAGCTGGCAAGGACCTCATCCTTATCCCACCCTTGATTGAGTCAGATCCTGTACATCCAATCCCCTTTCATGTGTAGAAGCTGGAAGCCAAACACTACATTTCCTAAGCTCCCTTGCAGCAAAGGCTCTGGATGTGATTTGGATTCCACCAATCCGATGCACTTGGGTAGACTTGGCTTTGGAACGGCCAGATATCTACATTGTTAGTGGACCCGCCCTCTGAGTGGCTGCTCCCACTGTGGGAGTGTGCTCAACCTGGTCAGCTGAGCAGTGCTCCCACTGTGGGAGCATATTGACCACCAGGGGGCAGCTCCTGCATTGAGTGTCTGCCCCCTGGTGGTCAGTGTGCGTCATAGTGACTGGTTGACTGGTAGTTCTGGTCGTTCAGCTGTTTGGTCACTGGGCTTTTATTACATAGGATTGTGTATAACACACCCTTTATAACAGTAAAATTTATAGATTTGTGTACATTTTCCTAGAGAACTAGTTGTTAAACTTAGCAGTATCCTGGATGTGTTTGTGTTATTATTCTGGGTTAAGTCTTAGAGAACAGAGTCAAGTGTAACTAACATAAGCAGAAAGAAATTTATCAGAGGGTATTAAATGGCTAACAGATTGACTGGGTGGTGGTGGGGAGGCCTGAAGAAACAGACCTAGACTGAAAATGACTCCCAAACAATTCCAGATCAGAGTCCAGATCTGGATTGCCACAGGTGCTGCTGCTCCTGCCACATTCAAGAAGCCACTGCCTTCACTAACAATGTAAATATCTGGCAATTCCAAAACAAAGTCTACCAAGTGCATCGGATTGGTGGAATCCAAATCACATCCAGAGCCTTTGCTGCAAGGGAGCTTAGGAAATGTAGTGTTTGGCTTCCAGCTTCTACACATGAAAGGGGATTGGATGTACAGGATCTGACTCAATCAAGGGTGGGATAAGGATGAGGTCCTTGCCAGCTGAGTGGAATAGTAGGAAGCCAAGCTTGCAGTAGGGATGTACTTGGGGTTTATATAAGTTTGGAGAATCCTGATGGTCATGTGAGAAGAGATGGGAGAAAGCCGAGAAGAACTGGTAGTGGAGAGCCCTGAAGGCCAACTTGAATCATTTGCAATTCCTTCTCCTCCCTGATATCTGCTTCATCATACCTAAAATTTGTTTTTCCTAAAAAGATTCAGGGAATAAGTAGTGAGGGATGTAAGTTCAAGACTTCCTTTAATCAGCAGGATGATTACATCCTGACCAGCAGAACGTGGGGGATACTTCTTAATCTGTTTTGGCCTCCATTTCTTAATCTGTAAAATGGGACCAATTTATCTCATACAGTCTGTAAGGATGAGAGTTTAGCACATACTCAATTAACATTCATCCTCTAATCCAGTTGTTCCCAGAGTGTTGTTGCTTTACCAGCAGCATCAGAATCATCTGGAAACTTATTAAAAGTGAAAATTATTGGGCCCACACAAGAGTTATTAAATCCAAAACTCTGGGAGGAGGGGGGAGGCTGGAAGGGGGCTCAGTAATCTGTGTATTCAGTCTTTCATGTGATTCTGATGCACATTAAAGTCAGAGAACCTGCGATTTAAGGGAAGAGTTTTCAAATTTTGGTAAGCATAAAGAATACCTAGGGTGCTTCTTCAAAAGGCATGTACATTCCTGCCTCACCACAGAGATCTGATTCACTAACTCTGGAAAACTGCATTTTGAATAAGTGAATAAGTGTCACAGGTGCCCAGCTGGTGTGTCAGTGGTTGGGGTCCCAGGTTTGATTCTGGTCAAGGGCACATGCCCATGTTGTGGGC